AATACCCTGTATATGCAATTTTTTCAGCGACAAGCCACTGGAGAGCCCCGATAATAAACCGTTCGAGAAGAGTGACCGTAAGGTTGCAAAAGATGAGAGATGTAAACGCGAGAATAGATCAACGAACAAATATAATAAGAAAAAAAAACAGGAGCGCAATGAATTGTACAGATGTGATAAATGTAGTTACAAAACTGGAAGTAAGATCCGTTTTGCAGCACACTGCGCTAGATGTGGGAAAGATTCGGAAGTGTACAAGTGCAAAACGTGCGTTTATACAACTGAGCATGAGAAATTATTTCAAAGGCACCAATTGCGGCATAAATGTCCTTCGCAGGTACAAATGTACAGGTGTGACGATTGCGATTACCAAACTAAATTAAAGGGTAATATGAAAAATCATCAACTGACACATAAGGATCCTTCGCAGGTTCAAATGTACAGGTGTAACGACTGCGATTATGAAACTAAATACAAGAGTCATATCAAATCACACCAACTGAAACATAAAGATCCTTCACAGGTTGAAATGTACAGGTGTAACGACTGCGATTATAAAACTAAATACCGCTACTATATAAAACAACACCAATTGATGCATAAAGATCCATCACAGGTTCAAATGTACAGATGTAACGATTGCGATTTCGAAACTAAATACACGAATCTTATCAGACGGCATCAACTGAAGCATAAAGATCCATCACAGTTTCAAATGTACAGATGTGACAAATGCGATTACGAAACTAAGAACAAGGGTAATATCACGCGCCATCAACTGATACATAAAGATCCATCACAGGTTCAAATGTACAGGTGTAACGACTGCGATTATGAAACTAAATACAAGAACGTTATCAAACAGCACCAACTGAAGCATAAATATCCATCACAGGTTCAAATGTACGGGTGTAACGACTGCGATTACGAAACTAAATACAGCAACCATATGAAACAACACCAATTGAAACATAAAGATCCATCACAGGTTAAAATGTACAAGTGTAACGATTGCGATTATGAAACCAAATATAAAAGCGCCATCAAAGAACACCAATTGAAACATAAAGATCCATCACAGGTTCAAATGTACAGGTGTAAAGACTGCGATTACGAAACTAAATACAGGAATCATATCAGACGGCATCAACTGAAGCATAAAGATCCATCACAGATTCGAATGTACAGGTGTAACAACTGTGATTTCGAAACTAAATACAGGGAGAATGTCAAAAAGCACCAACTGAAACATAAAGATTCTTCTGAGGTTCAAATGTATAGATGTAACGACTGCGATTATGAAACTAAATACAGGAGTTGTATTACATATCACGTGTCGACGCATAGAGAGCCTTTTTAAATGCAATCGAGTAGTGTTGGCAACTGAAANTCAAAAAGCACCAACTGAAACATAAAGATTCTTCTGAGGTTCAAATGTATAGATGTAACGACTGCGATTATGAAACTAAATACAGGAGTTGTATTACATATCACGTGTCGACGCATAGAGAGCCTTGTTAAATGCAATCGAGTAGTGTTGGCAACTGAAATCGGTTTTTTGGATAGTCGATTAACCGGTTCCAGACGATTTGGATTTTTACGAAACCCAAAAACCGGTTATTCGATTCTTCAAATAACCGATTATTCAAATAGTCGATTATTTGATAATCTATTCATTCAAACATCCAGATAATCGGATTCTTTCTTTATTGACATATTGGCTACTTAGCACGTACATAGTAGATACAAAATTAGGTGGAACTATTAAGGGAAATACAATTTATTTTTATACTTTATCTTGGACGCAGACACAGATTGATTAAAAAAACAATCACCCAAACACCAAACCTGTTTATACGGGGTGTCCCAGAAAGACCTCCCATAAATACAGGAGGTCATAGTACGACAAAAAATAAGAATTTTTAGTCATGAATTATATGTCTATCTCCTCTTGTTTTCGAGATACAGAACGACAAAATAAAATTTTTTAAATGTAATATTTACGAAAATTTCCAAACGGTGCGAAATATTTATGTACCTGAAGTTCCGAACGTTCGTTTGAACGAAAATGAAAACTCGTAATATCACGTTTAATCGTACTTAAAATGATTTTACCTCCTAAATTCTGGCTTCTGTAGACGAAAACAACACTACCCCATCATCAGAGGCCACCCCCTATATTAACCACCCTTAAAACTTCGTTACACGTATTTTAGAAAATTAGCCCCGTACCACCCCATATTTGACATATGTTGTTGACATTACTTTTATACTGATTTTTAAAAAACATTCGGACCTTTTGTCACTATTAGAAGACACCCTGTCAACAACCCTTAAAACTGATAATTTATATCTCCAATCAACTTAAAAAGCCACGTTAAATTTGATTTAAAAAGTTTACGTTTCATTTATAGCCATTTACAAAAACTATTGCCGCCCTTTGTTGCCACCGGAAACTACCCTGTCACTATGAACTACCCTTGGAAAGGTCAAGTAGTCTATTCCAAATATCAAGCCTGCTATCACAGTATATCTGTCTTAAAATTTTAAGATAACATATCTATGGATTTATAAATACTATTTCTGCCCTTCGTTGCCATCAGAACCCATCCCATCAACTACCCTTAAATTGATAATATCTTATATCCCCTGTATAAGGCTGAAAGCCATAATAGATTTTAAGTAAATTGTTAACATTACATTTGTATTGACTTATAACAACTATTAATGCCCCTTGTTGCTCCGGAATCAACCCCGTCAACTACCCTTAAATCAATTGTGTTATATCCCGGATATCAAACAAAGCCACAATAGATTTTAAGTAAATTGTTCAAATTATATTTATATTTACATATAACAACTATTAATACATTTTGTTGCCACCGGAATCCACCCTATCAACAACCCTTAAATCTGTTGTGTATTATTTCCCCGGTATCAAGCTTAAAGCCATAATGGATTTTAAGTAAATTGTTAAAATTATATTTCATATAACAACTATTAATACATTTTGTTGCCACCGGAATCCACCCTATCAACAACCCTTAAATCTGTTGTGTATTATTTCCCCGGTATCAAGCTTAAAGCCATAATGGATTTTAAGTAAATTGTTAAAATTATATTTCTATTGACATATAACAACTATTAATATACTTTGTTGCTACCGGAATCCACCCCGTCAACAACCCTTAAATCAGTTGTTTATTATTTCCCCGATATCGAGCTTAAAGCCATAATAGATTTTAAGTAAATTGTTAAAATTATATTTATATTTACTTATGACAACTATTAATATACTTTGTTGCCACCGGAATCCACCCCGTCAACAACCCTTAAATCAGTTGTTTATTATTTCCCCGATATCAAGCTTAAAGCCATAATGGATTTTAAGTAAATTGTTAAAATTATATTTATATTAACTTATAGCAACTATTAATAGCCTTTGTTGCTACCGGAATCCACCCCATCAACAACCCTTAAATCGGTTGTGTCTTATATCTCCGTTATCAAGCTAAAAACCATAATGGATTTTAAGTAAATTATTGAAATTATATTTATATTGACTTATAACAACTATTAATATACTTTGTTGCTACCGGAATCCACCCCGTCAACAACCCTTAAATCAGTTGTTTATTATTTCCCCGATATCAAGCTTAAAGCTATAATCGATTTTAAGTAAACTGTTAAAATTATATTTAACAACTATTAATACCCTTTGTTGCTACCGGAATCCACCCCATCAACAACCCTTAAATCAGGTGTGTCTTATATGATCGTTATCAAGCTAAAAGCCATAATGGATTTTAAGTAAATTATTGAAATTATATTTATATTGACTTATAACAACTATTAATATACTTTGTTGCTACCGGAATCCACCCCGTCAACAACCCTTAAATCAGTTGTTTATTATTTCCCCGATATCAAGCTTAAAGCTATAATCGATTTTAAGTAAACTGTTAAAATTATATTTAACAACTATTAATACCCTTTGTTGCTACCGGAATCCACCCCATCAACAACCCTTAAATCAGGTGTGTCTTATATGATCGTTATCAAGCTAAAAGCCATAATGGATTTTAAGTAAATTATTGAAATTATATTTATATTGACTTATAACAACTATTAATATACTTTGTTGCTACCGGAATCCACCCCGTCAACAACCCTTAAATCTGTTGTGTATTATTTCCCCGGTATCAAGCTTAAAGCCATAATGGATTTTAAGTAAATTGTTAAAATTATATTTCTATTGACTTATAACAACTATTGATACACTTTGTTGCTACCGGAATCCACCCCATCAACAACCCTTAAATCAGTTGTATCTTATATCCCCGTTATCAAACTAAAAGCCATAATGGATTTTAAGTAAACTGTTAAAATTACATTTATATTGACCTATAACAACTATTAATACTCTTTGTTGCCACCGGAATCTACCCCATCAACAACCCTTAAATCACTCGTTTATTATTACCCCGATATCAAGCAAAAAGCCATAATGGATTTTAAATTGTTAAAATTATATTTATATTGACTTATAACAACTATAAATATACTTTGTTGCCACCGGAATCCACCCCATCAACAACCCTTAAATCAGTAGTGTCTTATATCTCCGTTATCAAGCTAAAAGCCAAAATGGATTTTAAGTAAATTGTTAAAATTATATTTATATTGACATATAACAACTATTAATATACTTTGTTGCTACCGGAATCCACCCCGTCAACAACCCTTAAATCAGTTGTTTATTATTTCCCCGATATCAAGCAAAAAGCCATAATAGATTTTAAGTCAATTGTTAAAATTATATTTATATTGACTTATAACAACTATAAATATACTTTGTTGCCACCGGAATCCACCCCGTCAACAACCCTTAAATCAGTTGTTTATTAGTTTCCTGATATCAAGCTAAAAGCCATAATGGATTTTAAGTAAATTGTTAAAATTATATTTATATTGACTTATAACAACTATTAATATACTTTGTTGCTACCGGAATCCACCCCATCAACAGCCCTTACATCAGTTGTTTATTTTTTCCCCGTTATCAAGCTTAAAGCCATAATGGATTTTAAGTAGATTGTTAAAATTATATTTACATTGACTTATAACAACTATTAATACCCTTTGTTGCTACCGGAATCCACCCCCATCAACAACCCTTAAATCAGTTGTCTTATATCTCCGTTATCAAGCTAAAAGCCATAATGGATTTTAAGTAAATTGTTAAAATTATATTTATATTGGCATATAACAACTATTAATATACTTTGTTGCTATCGGAATCCACCCCGTCAACAACCCTTACATCAGTTGTTTATTTTTTCCCCGTTATCAAGCTTAAAGCCATAATAGATTTTAAGTAAATTATTAAAATTATATTTTTATTGACTTATGACAACTATTAATATCCTTTGTTGCCACCGGAATCCATCACGACAACAACCCTTAAATCAGTTGTTTATTATTTCCCCGTTATCAAGTCTAAAGCCATAATAGATTTTTACTAAATTGTTAAAATTATATTTATATGGACTTATAACAACTATTAATACCCTTTGTTGCTACCGGAATCCACCCCGTGAACAACCCTTAAATCAGTTGTTTATTATTTCCCCGATATCAAGCAAAAAGCCATAATGGATTTTAAGTAAATTGTTAAAATTATGTTCCGAACGTTCGGAACTTCAGGTACATAAATATTTTTATGAATGTTGGTATTCCGGGGTTTTTAAGGGTGCCAAATACGCTGGTCTAATTATTTTTTGAATATTTCATAGGGCACTAGTTATGCTACATTCTT